GTCATATTCTGTATATCAATTTTACTTTTCTCTCAGAAGTAATACGTAAACATTAGGATCTGTACATCAGTAAATATGAGCACACTCCTGAAAGATGTGTCATCTTTAGTGAACTAGTAAAATCAAATTTCTGAGCCTATAAAGCTGAGGACTGGACTATGAGCTCCGTAAATCAACCAAAGTAAATGATACCACGAGATACACTTGGTACTAGTTGGCTAGCTTTGTCAGTGACCTCTAAGCCTTAGGATGTCTTTCTTCAGAGCATTTATAGTACTTATTAATTTTTAAAATGAGTCATATGAAAATAAAATGGTTCCCACTGACATTGGATAGGCTAATATCCACTGCTAGCCTATCCAGTGGGAAAGTTGCAATAACCCAAATTTTTATCCTGTAAGATTAAGTAAGGGAAAAGAGATTCCTGACGTCAGTTTCATTTGAGGACATTTCAGATATGAGCAGCAGCTTTTTATTTATTTATTGTACACAAAAGAGTATTTATTGAAAACATGGTTACTGGCAGGAGGCTCCTGGTCACTCTCTAGCTACAATCTTGGCTCAGAACTGGAAGTGTTCTGTACTTACTTCCCCTCAATTTTATTTTTCCCCAAGGTTCCATACTAAGATAGGTAGATCTCATATAAACATATATACATGTCTGTACAAGTATGGGCCTATAGCAAAGAAAATATATAGTACACTCTTCATTGGGTAGTACCTACCATGCCAGGCCACCAATACTAAATATGAAATGCCACTGCAGCAGCACCTTTTCCAAACAGTAGTATTTTTAATAAAAGTGAAATGTTTTTTCAAATAATTAAGTGGAAATTCTTACCTTTGTTAAACTTAAGTGGCCCACAGAAACCTACCATAAAGCTATACAATACAGTAGCCTTTCTGGCTGAGTGTGGTGGCTCACTCCTGAAATCCGAGCACTTGCAGAGGCCAAGGCAGGCAGATCACTTGGGGTCAGGAGTTCGAGACCAGCCTGGCCAACATGCCCATCTCTACTAAGACTACAAAAAGATTATCTAGGTGTGGTGGCACACGCCTGTAATCCCAGCCACTTGGGAGGCTAAGGCAGGGGAATTGCTTGAACCCAGGGGGCAGAGGTTTCACTGAGCCGAGATCGCGCCATTGCACTCCAGCCTGGGTGACAGCGCGAGACTCTGACTCTGACTCAAAAACAAAACAAAACAAAACAAACCTCTCTCTCTCTCTATATATATATATATATATGCACACACATATATATAGGGTGACAGTGCAAGACCCTGTTGATAGACATATATGTCTCTCTCTCTCTATATATATATATACACATATATAGTCCTCTCTCTCTCTCTCTCTCTCTATCTATATATATATATATAGATAGATAGAGAGAGAGAGAGAGAGAGAGAGAGAGAGAGAGAGAGACAGAGATTGAGTAGCCTGTCTCAGAATCTTAGCACAAAAGTGAACCTGGCTCATTAATAACTTCAACCTCCCTAAAGTGTGGGAATCTTCCTTAACATTCCTGGTGGATGATTATTCAAATATGACTTATTGAAATCAGCACACCTGGAATCTTCTTTATATATATTGCATCTGGAGTACTTGGGTCACTAGATGATACTTCTTTTTAGAAATTTCTATACTGAGGATGATGACAGTAAACTTCCTTTGGTGTTTGAGGTATCACAGAATTCTTTTTCAGGGACTTTTGAGATGAAGACAAACAATTCATAGTTTGAATGCCTTACACATTTTTAGTTTTTTTTTGTTTGTTCAATGAAAGAATGTAGGAATCAATAAAGTGAATACATGGCATTTAGTTGGTTCTGAAAAGTTGAATATATCCTGTTAATCTAGTAAGAACTATTACAGGAGTCATGGAATTCTTTAGGAGTAGAGTCATCTCCCACATGGTCTTAGGATTCCTGGTTTTCACCCAGGTGGCCTGGGTTCAACTACCAGTATAGGAATGCTAAGCTTCTGAGAAAAAAAAAAAAAAAACAAAAAAACTTTCATAACCATCAACTTGTCTTGAGCAAAAAAAAAGCAACTGTGCCAAGTCCCATAGCCCCCCTACCCACAAAGAAAAGGTGATAGAACAAAATTTTTGACGGGCGGGTGGCTCGCACCTGCAATCCCAGCTACTCACTCTAGAGGCTGAAGTGGGAGGACTGCTTGAGGCCAGTAGTTTGATACCAGCCTGGGCAACAAAGTCAGACTGTCTCTAAAAAAATTAAAATCAAGATTTCCCCTCCGCTTCTTTCTACTGAACTGAATTTGGGAGCCAGGGATAGGAAGCAAACGATGAGAGGCAGAGTCATGTACTGGAAGGAGTGTAGCCACTGTAATTGGATGGACGTGGTTCAAATCCACTTCTATTTATCGTGTGTCTCATCTTGGGCCATTTAGTTACTCTGAGTCTCGCTTTGTTTTCATTTTAAAAATGAAGATAATGCTTAAGTAGCAGAGTTACTGTGAAGATTAAATAAATGAATGTGTAGAAAGCATGTAACACAATTGGCTAATAGAATGAGCTTGATAATGGTAGCTATTACACTTACATTTGGGCAACATTTCATAAAATATTTATCGAGAAAAAATAAGAATGCTATGCCTAATTTTTGTTTTTATTTAATTTTAAATAAGAGCCGGGTGTGGTGACTCACGCCTGCAATTTCAGCTACTGGGGAGGCTGAGGTGGGAAAATCACTTGAGACCAGGAGTTCCTGACTAGCCTGAGCAACATACTGAGATCCCTGTCTCTAAAAAAGTAAAAAAAAATCTAGCCAGGTGTGGTGGTATGCACCTGTAGTTCCAACATTTTGGGAGACTGAGGTGGGAGGATCCCTTTTCTCCCGGAGTTTGAGGCTGCATTAAGCTATGATCATGCCACTCCACTCCAGCCTGGGTGACAGTGCAAGACTCTGTTGATAGACAGACAGACAGATAAAGAGAAAATCCATGACCAACAGAAGGTGAGGTAAGGTTAAAAAATAAGATAATTCATAATGGCCAAGAGGTGGAAGGAACCCTAGTCTCCATCCAGGACATTTTTGGCTTGTCAAAACTGGGGGTGGGACCAGGTGAGGTGGCTCACGCCTGTCATCCCAGCCATTTGGGAGGCCAAGGGAGGACTGCTTGAGGCCAGGAGTTCAAGACCAGCCTGGGCAACATAGAGAGACCCTGTCTGTAAAAGAAAAAAAAACAAAACCCAAAAAACTAGGGTTGTGGTGGTGGTATTACTGTTACCTAGTGCTGAAGGCCAAGGATGCTGGTATATACCATGACATGCATAGGATTTTCCCTATGTCCGCCCTTAAGAAAGAACTATCCAGCCCAAAATGTCAACAGTGGGCAGGTTATGGTGGCTCACGCCTGGAATCCCAGCACTTTGGGAGGCCGAGGCAGGTGGATCACCTGAGGTCAGGAGTTTGAGACCAGCCTGGCCAACATGGTGAAACCCTGCCTCTACTA